AAGAGCCACTACAGACTGGCCTCCCGACAGGGCTGAATGAGAATCAGTCAGGGGGCCCCTGGGGAGGGGAGAGCCCATCTGCTGAGTAGTCAGGAAGACAAATCTCCTGAAGTTCCAGCACTGTGGGAAGTATAGTCCTGGAGAACAGTTTTGTGACTCCAAGCGTTTCTGCTCCATGACTTGTACTAAAAGGTACAGTGTGAACTGTAGCTGCCAGTTCTGGTTGAAGAGGAGAAACATGAAAGAGTTTCAGGAAGCCCACTATGCCTTGTGTTCACCAGTGTGGACCCTGCTGCAGCTCCTCTGCCATCACCCATGCTAAGATCCAGGGCAAGTGCCACAGGGGTCAAGAGGACTCTAGCTGGGGTTCAGAGAACTCCAGTCATGCTAAAGAACTGTCTCCAGTGTCCCTGGGCCTTCATCGGTGAGAGCTGGACATGGAGAATGTGACCCAGGAAGCTCCATACAGCTGTGCCTACACCAGGATTCATGGCATCAACCCTGTGTTCCTGTCCAGTAATCTTAGCCACTGGAGTGCAGAGGAGGTGCATGAGTTTACTGCGTCTCTACAAGGCTTCCAGGAGATTGCAGAGGAGTTTTGTTCCCGGGAGATGGATGGAAAGGCCCTTGTTTGGCTTAAAGAGCACCTCGTGAGTGCCGTGAACACGAAGCTGGGCCCCGCCCTCAAGATCTGCACCAAGAAATTGTCCTCGAGGAGACCTAAGGTGGCCCTCTTGCACAAACCAGCCTAAGGCTGACACTGTCACTGTCCAGGTTACCACCTGGTGCCAGTAGAGCCTTTGCTGAGAAGAAAGTGCTGTTCTGATGATGTGCACCTCCAGTCGAGGCGATTACCCAGACAGGGAGGAGAAGTGCAAGAATTGGTTGCTGGCGCTACATGGAAGCAGCTCTGGCATTTTCTCCGGGTTCTACTTCGTTTAAAAAAATCTTCACGGGCTTCCCTGGTGGCGCAGTGGTTGAGAGTCCGCCAGGCCACAACAGTGAGTAGGCCCGGGTACCGCAAAACAAAAAACAAACAAACAAAAAAAACACTTCACAATTCTCAGCATTCCCACCTACCCCAATCCAACTTTAATAAAAGAAGCAGTCTAGGGAACCAGGACTGCTCACCTAATCCTGGAGTGGAATGTCTAGCCAGGACCTGAGTTCCTCAAGCGGAGGGATACACAGGATGGTATGGGAGGAAATGGGTGGAACGCAGGGGTGCCTCCCCAGTGGGAGGGGTGGGGTTTTCTCGCTTGTGTGACCCAAGTAGCAAGATCTGGTGCTCCCCACCTTCCCTCTGGATTGTCCCACTGTGGCCGTGGCCCAGAGTTTTCTCTTCGTTGTCACTCCCTCAGTATTGAACATTTTCACCTGCATTTGTGGCAGGCTCAGCAGCCAGTGTAGAGACTTTTTTGGCATCATTCCGAGCTGAAGGGGCTAAGCATGGTTGACTAGCACACATATGGCTGTTGTCATTTCTTTCTCACGTCCCGGCTCCCTTCCAACGTATCTATTGTTTTCTGCCCTTTCTTTCCAATTCCAACTCTACTCTGTCCTATAGCTTTAGGAAAAAGGAGTGCGTGGGCTGAGGTCAGATTATAAGTACCCACCTTAGCCTCTATTCCCTATATGACAAAGAAATTAAATATCTTTTTCCTCAGTAAAAGGATGAAACTCGGGGAAAAAAGTACACAGCAGGCTTATGGCCCACCTGTGTCACTGCTGCCAAAGTCCCTGCTGAAGTGAAATTCCACGTTTACTAACATGCACCAAATAAGCTAATATTTGTTAGATGTCCGTGACTTTCCCCAAAGACACTCGACTCTGCTGTGTTCCCCCCACATGTTGTCTCCTATGTCAGACTGGGTCCTTCCCTCCCTCCCTCCCTCAGGGAAGGGACTGTACTCCTGGGTCTCCTGTCTCCTTCCTGCAGAAAGAAGCCTGTTGGGCAGGACAGGAACAGGAAGACAAGCATATCCTGAGCACCTACTATGTGCCAGGAACTACTGTAGATAGCTAATGGTATTATTGTGACTCTTTTGACATGCGAGGAAACAGAGGCCCAGAAGAGTTAAATTATTTGCCCAAGATCACAGAGCTCATACATGATGGAGCCAGAATTACAGAGCAGGGGTGTCTGATTCCAAACTTAAGCTCTTCCCTCCACACACAGTGGCCCACCAGTAAGGATGGTCTGGGTCTCGGATTTGAGTGAAGACATCCTGGGTCCTGTGGTCCCTTTGTGTCTTTCAGACTGGCTGCTGCTCCAGACCCCTAGCCTCGTGTTCCAGGAAGGGGAGCCCATCGTGCTGAGGTGCCACAGCTGGCAAAACAGCCCTCTGTATAAGGTCATATTCTTCCAGAATGGAAAATCCAAGACGTTTTCCCATCTGCGTTCCATCTTCTCTATCCCACAAGCAAACCTCAGTCACAGTGGCGAGTACCACTGCACGGGATTTATCGGGCAGACAGTGCACTCATCACAGCCTGTGACCATCACTGTCCAAGGTGGGAACCAGTGCCGTTCAAGGAGCTTTACACCTTGGAAGGATAGGTAGTTAGAGGATTACTGATCTTTTTTGTACTTGAGAACCTTTGTTCTCACGAGTATGCCTGTTTGACATCAACAGGAAAGTTCTAGCTTGACCTAACTGCTGTGTGAATTTGCAGCTCTGTTCCAGCTCATTTCTCAAGGATTATAGAAATGGGTGTCCTTCATTTGGAGTTTTAACTCTTAGGGGACAGAAGCCACCTTTTTATTCTCCATATCCATCCACCAGACATTGCTGCTCTCCCTCTTTTCCATCTTATTCAAACCACTTCATCATATGTCCCTGTAGGTGTCTTATGCTTGCTTGTGTCTCCCTACTGAACCTCTCAGCCTAGGCTCAAATCTTAGCTCAAAGCGGCCACGTTGGCATGAGAATCTCTCTCTACATACAAAGAAAGAGGCTTGTGCCTGTTCTTGAGAAATTGTACATTGTGGGATCCATATCATACCCTTTCAGACAGCATCACAAGCTATTTATGCCAGACTAATGTTGGTTAGTGAATAGTCCTGGGCTCACAGGAGGTGGTGAGTGAAGATGTGTTGATGTGGTCTGTGGATTCCTTAGTTCAATGTTTCCCAAAGGCTGTTCCCCAATCACATAACTCCTTGAGAGGGCTTTCAGAATGAAGGGTTCTGTGATCAAATTAATGCAGAACACACTACATACTCTGTTCCTCTACTTTTATATTCATAATTCAGATTAAAGGCTTCAAGAAGTCCTGTCTTAAAGGAAACGTTTAAACTAAGTTTCATAAGGCATTTGCTAAACCCAGGTGACCACAAAACCTTTTTTCTTTATAACTTCTATTAATGTCCTTCAGAACAGATGTGCCTGAGGTCATCCTTTGGGAAATGCTGATCCAGTGCTTTATTTGGAAAAGCAGAGAGATGACAGATAGATCCTCTGAAGCCTTCCGGGGCTAGCTGCCTGCTCTTGGCTTTCGCCTCAGCCTTTGGCTTGGGTGACTTCACAAAGGCTCCTCACTGGGGACCTGAACGTTTATTCCAAATTTCTGTCTTTTAACAGCTGTCATTTTTCCCATCCCTCTGCCTCTCCTATTAGGTCCGGCAATTCTATTCATCATTCCACCTTGGTATCAAATCACTTTCTGCCTGGTGATGGCGCTCCTTTTTGCAGTGGATACAGAGCTGTATTTTTCTGTGCAGAGAGACCTTCAAAGCTCAGCGGGAGACTGGAAGAACTGCAAAGTCAGATGGAGTCAAGGCCCTCAGGATAAATGACCCCTCATCCCACGGCGTAACAGCAGTGGCAGCAGCATCTCTTCAGGCCATAACTTTCCTCTTCCCCTGGCCCCACCTTGACAGCAACGTGGGCTAAGGAGCCTCCAGGAAAAGAAAAGGCCTGTGATCTCCAGAGCTAAAATCCTAATAGGCCCTACCTTCACTGATTTCCCTAAGGCCAAGGCACAGTCACAGCCCACCCAGCTCTACAAGGACTCAGAGCAAATGTGTTTTCACAGATCCTTGACAGAGGTTCCTCAAATATATGAAATCTCAGGAAATCCTGCTTCTACTTTCAAAATATATCCAACAATCCGACCACTTCTCAGTACTCTACTACTAGCATCTTGGTCCAAGCCACCATCATCTCACTTGAACTACTGCAGCAGCCTCCTGACTGCTCTCCCTGCACTCACCCATGACACCTGACAGTCCATTCTCACCATAACAGCCAATGTGTGTTGTATCTGTCACTTCTGTTCTTGAAGCCATGCAATAGCTTCCCTCTTGCATTTAAAGTAATAGCTACAGCCTTTGTAATGTTCTACAAGGCACTACATTATCTTGCTCCTCAGCCTCTCTAACCTCATCTACTGCTCTCCCTTTGCTTCCTTGAACTCTTCGATTATACTTCTGCTACAGGTTTATATGTTATTTACTGTTTCTGAAATGTTCATTCTTACAGATATCTACATCATGCTTCATCATGGTCTTTACTCAAATATCACGCTATCAGTGAGGTCTCCTTGATCATTCGGTGTAACCCCACTCCACCATCTCCTAATCCCGCTCTCCTGCTCTATTTTCCCCATTGTCCTCATCACCAACTGGAGTACCATATGTTCACTTGTTTGTTTACTGCTGTATTTTTCCCCTATTGTATGTATCACCAACTGACCCCTCTCCCATTAGAATATGCTCCAGGGGAGCAGGGCCTTTGTCTCTTTTGTTCACTACCATATACTTAGAGTCAAGGTCAATGTCTGGCACTTGATAAAGCACTCAATACATATTTGTGGAACGAGTAAATTCTTTAGCATTTGAAATTAGAGACATTTTTAGGTACATCTACTCCATCTTCCCAGAAGCAGAGGTCCGATTCAATACTATCGAACACCCTATTAGATACTACCCAATACATACCACTAGTACATGCATTTCAGCTTTGAATATATTTGCCTAAACTCAGTATTATTAACTTTCACCCATCACATCTTTTAAAGTAGTATATCAGTTCGACCTACTCCCCTTTAATTGAATTGACTTCCTAAGCCTGTAGTGTAGCATTGTGAAAAGCATACTGAAAAGAGAGCCAAACAACCTGGATTTGTGTTTCATTTCTACATTTGCTAGCTGGTTTGTCTTGAAGAATTCATTTAACTATTTTATGAATTAGATTCTTCTTCTGTAAAATGGTAATATCTTTATCTCCCTCCCCAGGGATATCATATGAGCTTCAAGTGTAACAACATATATGGAAGCATATTATCTTTGGAACATAATAGGCGTTTAATAAATGCTTATGGAACCTGATGTCTTTGGAGCACACTATTTGGTTGGTGTTGTCGTTTATCTTATGACAGGGCCGAAAGTAAGCTCATCACATGAGATGAATTGTGCAGAAGCACAGCAGTAGAGGGCTGCCGCTCGCTCAGGCGAAACAGCGCCGTCTGTCCTGCTGTGGTAGCTTTTATTAAAGCATTATCTATGTTAACATTTTAAGACTTGTTTTTTTAACACTTTAGAAATGCCAAAGCAGCAACCTATGTTTTTATTCATTATACAAGCAATAATTGGCTTTCTTGAAAACATGCCGTGCTTCATCCTTGAGTGCAAAAACAGCACAAAGTTCCCACCATTATTTTAATTATACTAAAGTAACACAAAGACATTTTCTTGCGTTCCCACCGTTTTAATTATACTGAGGACATCTCATGGATCAGTGCCCAAAGCACTCAATGCTTTTTCGCAGGCCCCCGGTTTGCCTGGGGTGGGGGGGCTCAAAGCATTCAGGACTGTTTACAGTTCTGACTTATTCACATGCCCCCGGTTTGTCGGGGTGGGGGGGCTCAAAGCAATCAGGACTGCTTGCAGCTCTGGCTTATTCGCCAGCCCCCAGTTTGCTGGCGGCGGGGGGCTCATGGGTCATGTCTCCTTTCCATGTCCTCAGTTATTCCACTACAGTTGGCATTTTCCCCTTAAATAGATAAGATTGCTTTTACTATAGTAACTTAAAAAAAAGGTAAGAAGGTCTAAGGTGGAGTGGGGGTGGACTAGAAGGTAGAACTGAGTGAGTTACATTTTTGTGGCTAGTCACATCAGAAAAAAAAAAAAATGGGGATAAGCCCACTTGACCAGCTGTAGCCAGTATATTAAGCTCATATGCTGTAAAAATACAATCTCAGTGGCACAAAACATCAAAGGTTTATTTCTCATTCATTTTCTGCTTCCAGTCTTCCTGAAAGACTCCCCAGGAAGCTGTCTTTCATGGGATGGTTCAGGTTTATACTCCCATTTCAACACCAGCTACCACACATTGCCAAGGAAGGCAAAGAGAACAGTGGCAATTAGGATGGTAATTAAATGCCCTCTGCCCAGAAGTAACATAGCACACGTACTTAAATTTCATTGATCAAAACAAGTCATATGACCTGATCTCAAGAGGCTTGGAATTGCAATCCCTTTCTGAGGCTAGAAGGAGGAGAATCATAAACATTGGTGAGCATCATCAATGTCTATCACACTAACGTTTCTTACTGTACCACTGTGAGGGGTAAAAATGAATAAAGTATATATGGCACTATCTGATAGACACAGCGAATCACTCCTCTTTTTCTTATTAACAGAAGCAGAATTTATTTGGGTATAGAGCAGGTACATAGTTTAGGGGAAACAGGAATCCCCTTTTGCTCCTGGATGAAATCAGAGATTTTTAAAGCTAGAAAGTGTCAGAAATGATGAAATTCAATCTTGTCATCTTAAAATTGAGAAAGGTATAGCCCAGATGGTTGAAATGACTTGTTCAAGGATGTACAGATAGTTGGTATCACAGATCTTTATATATAGTTTTGGATCATACTATACATTTTGTTCTACAACTTGCTTTTTGTGCTTAGTTTTGGGTCAAGAGCATCCCTCCACGATGGCCTTTTTTTTTTGCGATACGCGGGCCTCTCAGTGTTGTGGCCTCTCCCGTTGTGGAGCACAGGCTCCGGACGCGCAGGCTCAGCGGCCATGGCTCACGGGCCCAGCCGCTCCACGGCATGTGGGATCTTCCCAGACCGGGGCACAAATCCGTGTCCCCTGCATCGGCAGGCGGACTCTCAACCACTGCGCCACCAGGGAAACCCCACAATGACCTTTTAAGTCATCACTTGAATGTCTCTTGTACTTTAAAAAAAAAAAATTTATTTATTTTTGGCCGCATCGGGTCTTCGTTGCTGCGCGTGGGCTTTCTCTAGTTGCAGTGAGCACGTGCTACTCTTCGTCGTGGTGCGTCGGTTTCTCATTGCAGTGGCTTCTCATGTTGGAGAGCTCAGGCTGTAGGCGCACAGGTTTAGCTGCTCCGTGGCATGTAAGATCTTCCTGGACCAGGGATCAAACCCATGTGCCCTGGATTTGCAAGCAAATTCTCAACCGCTGCGCCACCAGGGAAATCCCTGTTCTACTTTTAAAGACACTCAATCTAAGTTACTAAACATAAGTGGATATGTTTAAGTGTATGGATAAAATTTGCATTGCATAATAAGCTTCTCTATTATGAATTTAAAAATAAAGTGAATGACATTGGAAGCATGCCTATGTGATGCTGTGTCTAGGTACAGAGGTGCTTGCTTTAGGGCTATACCTGGAACTCTTGGGGGTAGATGTGCAGCTGGGGTTTTGAGGCTGATGAGGGCTGGGAGAGAAGGTTGGAGTAGCTTGACAAGGCAATCCCTGAACAGTCCAGGGCACAGACCCCAGGCCTTTTCTTTTCTGAAGTGAGCACCCTTTTCTTGCAGGCCCTTGCCTAAAATATCCTAACTTTGACACGCAGGCCTGGGCAGCCTAAACACTGAAAGTGAATGAATTTAAAACTGACAGTTTCTCTCCCTCTTGGGTTATAAAACAGGTTCCTTCCTTTTGAGGATGATATGATTTCCCACCATGGAAGTCACTCATTGCATATGTCTTCAAACATTCCCTTTTTTCCAGTCCAGAAGTGGGACTGACATCTGCATCCTGACTCCCTCCTCCCTCTTCAAAGGCCCTGAAGCATTCCAAAGGGTTCTGAGCCATCTGAGGAGAAAAGACCCACTTACAGAGCAAAGGTTTTTAGTTCCTCTTTTTAAAAATTAGGAGTTGCCTTTGAATCGGGTGAATAATAATATATTACATAATAGTTGAAGCTACTAGAGTTTAACATTAGAATGTATCATGTTCCCCTGGGTACTGTGCTCTTAGTATAGTGGTGACTATCCCTGTCTGTCATGCAGGAAACCAGAGTTCCTTCCCCCATGGGGAGGTTATAGAGAACATTTGCTTCTCTTTCCTCCATTTCCATCCTCACGTCTCCAAAAAGTCTCCTTCTTTTGGCTTTTTGGGAGTCCACGCCAAATAGAAACACCAAAAAATTCAAATGGGATATTCTGGATTAAGGAAAGTGAGACATAGCAAAGACTCACTTTGCAAGGCCATAGCACTGATGGGAACAAATGTGGCTTTACTGACCAGTGAACTCATCTCCTCCCCTGGCCTTCAGGGCATAGGATGGACTGCAGCCTCCAGGAATTTACTCCCCACGTGCGTCCTGGGCTCCGGCTGGGAACCCATCCAGGCCTCAGAGAAAAACGCACACTGTGCCTTTCCAACCGGCCCCTTGGGACGATGCTCCTTGGAGACACTGGCCCAGGGAGAAGGCTCAACCACAGGGGGGACATTTTCACCACAGTTCATCGATCCACATGCTCCTTCCTCCTGTGCTGTGTTCTCTCCAGGGCTGGGTGGAGAGGTCATGCCTGGGTCCCCAAGCCACAACACCAGGTTCCGGCTCCTCTCAGGAATGCGACTTGGTGAAGGAGGAAAAACCAAACGAACCCAGCCTTCAACTAACTGGTTTTGTTTATTTCGGTGTCACAAATCCTAGAATAGAAAAAGTCTTAACATATGCACATTACTATATGTAAAATAGATAACTAATAAGGACCTAGGTAACTCTTCTCAGTACTCTGTAAATGACCTATATGGGAAAAGAATCTAAAAAGAGATTGGATATATGTATAAGTGATTCACTTTGCTGTACAGCGGAAACTAATACAACATTTTAAATCAACTGTACTCCAATAAAAATTTTTTAAAATTAGAAGAGCCTAGGAGAAAGGAACACAGTGCATTGGCCGGGAATCGAACCCGGGCCTCCCGCGTGGCAGGCGAGAATTCTACCACTGAACCACCAATGCCACTGGCCCTAGTAGTTCTTAAAGCGCCATCCCTTAAAGTCATCTCTGGCCCTAGTTTCATTCCAGAACAGAAATCGGGCCTCCCCTCTCTTAGCCACAATTTCGAAAACACTGCCTTTAGGTTTCAAAACAACAACTACATAATAATAATTAAGACTTAAGAAAAAACAACTACTATTTAAACCCCTGCCTCAGGCCATGGCTCTATTCGCATGGTGACATGCTTTCCAGCTTTTCTCGAGCCGCTGGACTCTGATCAGCCCTCTTCAACTACCCAGAGGAAGAACTGTTTTCTTGAAAAGTTTTTGCTTTACCTGAATTCTGCCCTAACCGCTCGCCCTTAGAACAAGCCGGGAGAAGCTGGAACTTTCTCTGCAGCTCTGAGTCTGATGCAGCTGGGGCCGCCCCTCCTTGCACGTCCCGATCCGCCCGAACCTTCTCCCGGAGTCAGCCCGGCGCCCCCTGGGCTAAGTCAGCTGGAGCGGGGGGGCCGGGCATCTCTGGGCTCGCCGCGAAGGCGCTGGAACGTTCGCGTCGGCGGGGGCGGGGGGATGGCGGGCCTCCGGCAACCGGATAAAAAGCTCGTGGAAGCGGAGCCGAGCAGATCCGAGCTGGGCAGGCAGGGGAGTCGCACCGCTGAGCGCACCTCCACGGCCGAGCCGCTCGAAGTTCCACAGACTCCTGCATTTGAATCGGTATCACACTCGTCCCCAGAAGCGCGAGAAGCCACAGCCATGTCCGCTGCAAGGGAAGTGGCCATAGGCATCGACCTGGGCACCACATACTCATGCGTGGGCATGTTCCAGCAAGGCCGGGTGGAGATCCTCGCCGACGACCAGGGCAACCGCACCACCCCCAGCTACTTGACTTTCACCGACACCGAGCGTCGGGTGGGCGATGCGGCCAAGAGCCAGGCGGCTCTGAACCCACACAACACAGTGTTCCACGCCAAGTGACTGATCGGGCGCAAGTTCGCAGACCCCACTGTGCAGTCGGACATGAAGCACTGGCCCTTCCAGGTGGTGAGCGAGGGCGGCAAGCCCAAGGTGCGCGTGTCCTTCCGTGGGGAGGACAAGGCGTTCTACACACCGAGGAGATCTCGTCCATGGTGCTGAGCAAGATGGAGACAGCGGAGGCATACCTGGGCCAGCCCCTGAGGCACGCTGTAATCACGGTGCCCTCCTACTTCAGCGACTCCCAGCGTCAGGCCACCAAGGACGCGGGTGCCACCGCGGGGCTCAACATGCTGAGGGTCATCAACCAGCCCACGGCGGCTGTCACGGCCTATGGCCTGGACCGGCAGGGCGCCGGAGAGCGCAACGTGCTCATTTTCGACTTGGGTGGGGGCACCTTCCACGTGTCGGTCCTCACTGTCGACGCCGGTGTCTTTGAGGTGAAGGCCACGGCTGGAGACACTCATCCGGGTGGAGAGGACTTCGACAACCGGCTGTGAACCACTTCTTGGAGGAGTTCCGGCGGAAGCACGGGAAGGACTTACGCAGGAACAAGCGGGTCCTGCGCAGGCTCTGCACAGCCTCTGAGCGCGCCAAGCGCACCCTGCCCTCCAGCACCCAGGCCACTCTGGAGATCGATTCCCTGTTTGAGGGCGTAGACTTATGCACTTCCATCACTCGAGCCCGCTTTGAAGAACTGTGCTTGGACCTCTTTTGCAGCACCCTGGAGCCGCTGGAGAAGGCCCAGATCCGTGGCACTGTCCTAGTGGGTGGCTCTACCCGCATCCCCAAGGTACAAAAATTCCTGCAGGACGTCTTCAATGGCAGGGAGCTGAACAAGAGCATCGACCCGGATGAGGCTGTGGCTTATGGGGCTGCTGTGCAGGCAGCAGTGTTGATGGGGGACAAGTGTGAGAAGGTGCAGGACCTCCTGCTGCTGGATATGGCTCCCCTGTCCCTGGGGCTGAAGACAGCTGGTGGGGTGATGACTACGCTGATCCAGAGGAATGCCACCATCCCGACCAAGCAGACCCAGACTTTTCACTACCTATTCAGACAACCAGCCTGGGGTCCTGATCCAGGTGTATGAGGGTGAGAGGGCCATGACTAGGGACAGCAACCGGCTGGGATGCTTTGAGCTCAGTGGCATCCCTCCTGCCCCACGTGGAGTCCCCCAGATCGAGGTGACTTTTGACATTGATGCCGGTGGCATCCTGAGTGTGACAGCCACTGACAGGAGCACAGGCAAAGCTAACAAGATCGCCATCACCAATGACAAGGGCCGGCTGAGCAAGGAGGAAGTGGGGAAGATGGTTTGTGAGGCTGAACAGTACAAGGATGTTCAGGATGAGGATGAGGCCCAGAGGGACAGGGTGGCTGCCAAAAACTCTCTGGAGGCCTATGTCTTCCATGTGAAGAGCTCTTTGCAAGAGGAGAGACTTAGAGATAAGATTCCTGAAGAGGACGGGTGCAAAGTACAAGACAAGTGTCAGGAAGTCCTTGCTTGGCTGGAGCACAACCGGTTGGCAGAGAAAGAGGAATATGAGCATCAGAAGGGGGAGCTGGAGCATATCTGTGGCCCCATCTTCTCCAGGCTCTACGGGGGGTCTGGTGTCCCTGGCGGTAGCAGTTGTGGATCTCAAGCCCGACAGGGAGCCCCCGGTACTGGCCCTGTCATTGAGGAAGTCGATTAAATGGCCCCTCCTGGCAAGGCAGCTGTGACTGTAAGGGCTGGGCTTGTGGACTTTCTAGACTGTCTACTATGATCCTGCCTATTTTGAGGGGTGGGAGTGGAGGAGAATCTTGCTCCCAAACGGAGCTTTTTTGGTCAGTATGTTTTATAACTGAGGTATTTGCCAGTTGACTTTTAAAATATCTTCTTCTCCTACTTCAGACAAGGAGAAGTAATCATTACGAACATTTGTGTGGCACTTTATCACTGCTTTTATCTACATTTAATGTATTTTGTTACTTGCATGTACGGATTTTGTTATGTGAAATAAGAGAGCTAAATAAACTTTTAAAGTTTCTTCTTAGTTTTCATTCTATCCAATTAAGTAGATGAAGGGGCAGGGTTATCAGAAGCAGAAAATGTTGGGGTGGGTGCTGAAGGAGGGTTGGGAAGAAAATTCATGAGGCTGTGTGCATGATTTCTATAAGGGAAAACAAGATAAGAGGAAGAGTTTGAGGCAGGCACATTAGTATTGAAATGAGGTCAGACAGGAGAGAATTGTGACACTGTGTTAAAAGAGGGAGGGAGGTGGAGCTGGAAAAGCAGAGAATGAAGAGAAACGTAAGCCCTAGCAAGACCCTAAAATAAAAATTCTGTATTAGGAGTCCAGTTTAGTTTGTCAGTCTGTGTGTCCTAACACACTGCCAAAGAGTTTATATGCTAATTATCTGCCTCTAATAATGTGACCTTATTCATTGTTCATTAGAGCGCAGACCCCAAGTCTTGGACTCTGGGGAATATGTTAGACTAAGAGGGTAAGTCTAGTGGTGTAATTAAAGTTATTATTATCTTATCTTTGTGAGAGAAATAGCATGGCCCCATCTGCTTTCTGCTGATGAGCCCTAGGTTGATGATGATGATGCCAATGGCAATTGTGTAGCAAAATGGCTATATTGGAACGAGAAGGCTTAGGTTTTCAGTGCTGTTACTTTATCTACTCCGCAAGTTAAACTCTCTGAGCTTCAGTTTTCCCTTCTATATAATGGGGATGATGATGAAAGAGTACCTCAGAATTGTTATAAGGGTACAATTAACTAAATATGTGAGGAGTGAAGAAGAATGTTAGGCATATAGTATATGAGCAACAAATATTAGCTATCACTAACTATTATTAATTGATTGTCAGCTATGTACCAGGTACTTGATTATACAGTGTAATCATCACAACAACATCACAGTGTATTATCTCTTTTGAAGATGAGGATCTGGAGGTTAAAAGACATTAAACGATTACTCAAGGGCCATAGCTATTAAGTCGGGGAAGGGGGGTGGTGGGGAGAGTTGGAATTAAGAACCCTGTCCTGCCTGATTCTAGAGCCAGTACATTGTCACCTCACAAACATTGTCACCTCACAAACTCCACTTATTACCAGATCTTCACCCAGATGTTGTGAAATTGTACGTATTATTCCTTTAGAACACAGTTGGATGCTGAGCCCTGAGAGAAAAAGTATACTTTATTGTATATTTACATTATCCATTAAGTGAACATGTGTTTTTTATAGCAAGTGACTAAACCTGGGAAATATCCTAAGGCTCAACTCTATTGCCAGTTAAATGACATATAAGAGAAGGATAAATTTGTGTAAGTTACTTCCCAATCAGCCCAATCCACACTGTACCTCTCCCATGTGCAAAGAGAGATTTATTTTTATCTCAGAAAAGAAGGCGGCCTTGGTTAGAGCAATGCTACGTTATATTTAGCTAAGGGTGATTTCTTGCAGGTGGAGAGGAGGTTGCAGTAACAACCCATTTGTCCCCTGGTTGTCATTTCACATTTTTAACTGCTTTTTCCTGCGCCTGGCCTAAGTCCTATGCCAGCTGGCTTCACATTGAAGGAACCTGCAAAAAAGAGATGATGTCACATACACATTCCGTATTGTACTTTCCCTTTCCTGAATTTCCTTCCAGCTTCCAACCCTGACCACCCCAAACTCTTTGTAACTTCTCATGCAGAATGATGGCACCTACAGGGTTTAGACAGTTTCCTAGCATTTCAACAATCTCTCTGTCTCTCATTAAAAACACACACAGTATATAAGAAGGAGAATTTCATTGTGCTTAGTTGTCAAAACACTTCAGATCTTCTCATTTGGATGGTATCTATTTTTCTACAGAGGGATTTAAACAAACTAACCACTTCATCTACTTTTAAATGATTGTTGATGCTTTCGATTCTTTGGGGATTGTTTCCTATTAATAGGCATCTAAATGTCATTGTATTGTGTGTGTATATATATATAGTCTTACTTCGATTACTGTAATCACAGCTATGCGTGATTACAATAAAAATATTAGAACAAATTAAATATCTGTTCCCCAAAATATTAGAACAAATTAAATCAAAATATATGCCCATTATTAAAAAATCAAATCTTGCTACAATCCTTCTAATGAAAAGCAAGCAGTCTTGGGAATTCCCTGGTAGTCCAGTTGTTAGGATTCTGCGCTTTCACTGCCATGGCTGGGGTTCAATCCTTGTTACGGGAACCAAGATCCCACAGGCCTCATGGGGTGGCCAAACAACAACAAGAACAAAAAAACCCCAGCAGTTTCTTGCCCCACTCCCAAGTGCTACTCCTAACAGGCAACCACTTTCAAGTTTTTTTTTTTTAAGGCCTTTTTATTTTGCAATAATTTTAGACTGACAGAGAGTTGTAAAGATACTACAGAAAGTCACTGTATATACATCATCCAGCTTCCCCTAACGTTAAGGGGATTTCATATTTTTCCACTAATGTTCTTTTACTGTTTCAGAAGCCAATCCGGGTCAACTGGTTGCATTTAGTCATGATGTCTGCCCTACAATCTGCAACAGTTTCTTAATCTTCCGATGTTTTTCAAGACCTTCACATTTTGAAGAGTACTGGTTAGGTATATTTGGTAGATTGTCCCTCAATTTGGGTTTGTCAGTTTTCTCATGATTACAGTGGGGTTTTGGGGAAATATACCACAGGGTGAAGTGCCCATCTTATTGTATTATATCAGGAGGTATGTGATATCATTGTGACTTATAAATGTGGGAACCTTATAAAATGTAGATTCAGTAGGTCTGAGGTACAGCCTGAGATCTGTATTTCTAATAAGCTGCTAGGTCGTCTCAATCCTCACAACAATTCTATCTCCATTTTACTACAAGCAAACTAAGGCTCAGAAAAGTCAAATACATTTCCCAAGGTCGCAGCCCAGTAAATAACAAAGAATGTAGTTTGTCTGGCGAGCTTTCATTAACCAGCCTAAGGATCCTTCCATCCTCATGCTTATGGACCTCACACATTCAGCCTCTTTGGACTGACAGTTCTTCTCTCTTCCGGAAAGCACAAGATTTTTCTATAAATCGGCGCCTCCCAAATTAGAGAGTAGCTTGTTTGCGGTCTTCAAGAAAACGTTCTTGGAACAACTCCATGAGTTTACCTTTGCTCTCTAGTACTTTCCCCCGTTTGGTGTGTTGATTTCCTTTCCGGGTCTTGGAGGACCCAGCAAACGTACTGAATTAGAATTAGTGGTGGGAGCTGGCCCGGCAAGATGCTGGGGAATCCGAGTCTCACCAAAGTTTGACACTGCAGTCTGAGCATGAAAAGACTCAGGTCAGTTACAGCAAGTTCAGGGATCTGGGTTGAGGGCTTTTCCTTGTTCAGGGGAGTCTTTTGTATCTACATGCAGTAAATAGGCACTGAGAAAGCGGAGTCTAAAGGCAAGAAAAAAATTTTTTTGTAGTTAGGGATAGATCTAAATAGATTCAGTTTCATAGTCAAAGTGAAGCACAATCTTCATGTGTAGATAGGCAGCATAAAAAGGTGTTTATTAATCAATACTCCTTTCTCCACGAATTCAATCCTGTTTCTATGTTGGAAGAAAAAGGGAGAACACCCATATTGTCAGAAGTGGGATTCGAACCCACGCCTCCAGGGGAGACTGCGACCTGAACGCAGCGCCTTAGACCGCTCGGCCATCCTGACACTCGGAAAGGTGATTTTCTTCTTCCCTTCTAAGATTGTCAAACACCGCGGTAGCATGTTGAACTTTATCAACGCTGTTTGCTGTTTATTTAAATAAACTTAGAACTCTCCCTGGACTTCTTCGCAAAACAGGAAAAATAAAACTGCCTCTGACTCCTATCTCTTACTCCTTCATCATCCTAAACTGTAAAGATCCATTTCCCCAGTGTCCCTTCGAGCGCTCCTCTCGCTCCTTCTCTCGGGGAACCGAGCCACATCAGGGTGGACCCCCTTGCTGGCCGGTCTCCGTCGAACCCTCCGCCCCAAATCGCCGTTACCGAACCCAACACCTGGTGGAACCAGTGCTGGGGCGCTCCAAGCGGCGGAGCTGGGAGCGCGGACGACAGAAGGCGGCGGGGGAGAAAATTCCCCGGGCCGAGCGAGGCGTTGGCTTTCCCTCCGGGCTCCGCGTGTTCCAGCCCTCCGGCTCTGGGCGCCGGGTGGTCTCTGCGTTCCCGGCCCCCCGTCGTTAGTTGGCGGGGCCGACTAAGAGGAGTAAGGACGGTGACCATCCTCACCGAGAAAAGGCTTTGTGTGCCTTGGGATCTCGGATATAAAACAATACCAAAAGCCATCTGTGACTTCATGGCCAGTAGTATACTTACATAAGTAACACAGGACATCGCCAGCGCGCCGGCGTTGGTGGTATAGTGGTGAGCATAGCTGCCTTCCAAGCAGTTGACCCGGGTTCGATTCCCGGCCAACGCAATTTCCACCTTTTTCACCCCAGCAAGTTCCTGAAGAGAGGGAGAAATAGGGCGTGCAATATATTTTTAAAGCCTGAGAGAAACTGGGAACTGAAACTAGGAAATGCAGCCAAACCTCTCTTTCTCCCCTGACCTCCTTATATACCCTGGGGGCCTCATTCTCTGCCCAGCAACATTTTGGAGGGATTAGATTCTAAAGGCTTTCTTTCCACTCTTACCTTCCCTCCTGCCTTCCTTTTTAAACTGCCAACTCGTGAGAAATCTTTGGTATCTTCTGGATTCTGCGGTGTCTTTTCTGAAACTCAGCCTTGGAAGGGGGCCATGGATTTA